CTTCATCTACATACATACATAGGATGATTTTTTCCTTTTAAAATAAAAATTCTCTTAAAAAAGCTTTTTGGCTTATTCACTTTTATTTTTTACCATTTTTGGCAGAGAATTTTCTCAAGTGCTTTTCGTTTTCTTCCATTTTCTCTAAGGAATTGGCTATATATTTACTTTGCTACTTTTGCAAAACCATCAGTCCAGTTAGCCTAAAAATGGATAAAGAAGGCCACAAATGTCCGGTAAAATTCCGTGCCAGTCAATTTCATTCAGTAAAAATGCCCTAAAGTATTTTCTTCAACTAAATATACATAAATATATGCATGTATGTATATATCCACTACTTTTGGCAAAATTGGAGTGCTTGTCCTACATAGTAATTCCTTATAAAAAATATTTTTAAATAAAATTCTTTCGGTCCAAGGTTGGCGGATCCTGGGAAATCCCCGGTATCCGGAACCATAATGTTTAAAGTAGTTAGGATAGAATAATTTTCGGGGAGGCAGCGCCATGTATTGGATAATAAGCCAGATTTCTTATATTTTTAGTGCCGCAGGCGAGAGTTTTGATAATTTTTAAAGTTACTTTTAAACTTTAAAAAGTTTAATTTTGTGAATAATTCACATACATATTTTATGTAAATTATTCATTTTCTGAGGTTTATTATTTATTATTCATGTAAATATTCATTCTCCGGAGCTGGAGCCAAGATTTTAAAAGCTCGGGGCCAACAAATGCCCAATACCCGGCACTGGTAGAGCCCTTTTGCCAAAAATTTAATTGAAAATTTATAAATGGACGATATTTTTTACTCTAATAATTGACGTTGTTTTGTTCGGACGATGTTCTGTCACGATGCGCATTTTCTCTCATAATATTTTCTCTTTTTTACTCAGAAAATGACCGACCCAATTTTCTATGAAAAATAAATATACCTATACTACATACATTATAATAATGCAGCTGCCCATGGTCCATTCATCAATACCATTATCTCTCAGTATTTGCTTGGTTAGCTTAACTAAAACTCTCCCTTTATTCAAACAATTCGATTCATCCATTTTTTTTTATTTCTCGCGCTCTTTTAACAAACAATAGTACCTAATCTTTTTCATTAAAATTCCATTACTACATCCTGCTGTTTAAATAAATAAATTTACCTATTTATACATATTTAATCTTTTTCAAAATAAATTTACAAAAAAATAATTTTCCTGAATTTTTTTTTTCAAAATTTTTTTCATTATAATTTAATTATGATTAAAATAAACATTTTTAATAATAATTATTTTTGCGTCGAAAACTTTATATTAAAAATATATTCACATAATTTCCGTTTCCCCTCATTATGTATATCCTTTATTCATTCATTAGTGTCCTGTCTGCATAATATTTTCCAATTATTTATTTTTTTCTTCTGGATCAAATTTACAAAACCCATTTTCAATAAATTCTTTTCACCAAAATTTCCCTTTATAATTCATATTATTATCAAAATATTATTAAAAATTCATTCAAATATTGTATCTTTGTTATCCATTTATAAGCGTGAATTATGTTCTCATTTCCCTGAATTTCTTTAACGAAAAAAGCTTTGGGGTATTTCGGTATTCCTACATATTCTGCCACCTCTTGAAATTCTAAAAATGTCAATTAAAAGGTAATAGAAGGGCACAACAATACGCACATAACGGCGGTCATTGATCTCGAAATACAGAAGTATCGCAAAAACTCAAATACAAAACGTAAAACAAAAAATAATACGAATGGCAATAAGATGCAGTGCAAACATAAATTTTTAACCATTATGCGTCCACGAACATTTAAGGAGTAAGGTTGGAAATAAACATAATCGAACCCGAAGATATCGAATTAAATAATAATAAAAGTAATAATTAAATATTAAAGTAATTTAGTAATAAATACTATAATTACATTTACATATTTTTCTTAAAAGTGTAGGGACAAATTGTTGCTTCTTCTCTTTATTTAAGTCTTAATTTTTCTTCCTCTTTTCTAGCACTTTTTTACCCCGATTGTCGGCACTTAATAAAAGAAAGTCAATACTATTGGAAGTAATAAAAATATTTTTGTTGAAAAGATTTGGTGACAAAAAATTTTTTTTATTAATGTTTGCCCTGTTCGTTCGTCCTTCTATTTAGTCCCCCCCCTACCCCCCCCCCCCCGTCCCCCATCTTTCCCTCGGCGCCGATCGATTTTATTCTCAGTTATTTGTTCACAGAAGAGAATTATTCTCTCAATCGTCTATATTATTATTATATACTGTCAGGAAAAGAACTACAGGGTGTCCCAACTAAAAAGCACTATTTTAAAAATTAATAACTTTTTATTATCTTGACGGATTTTAATCATTTTTGGTATTTTATATCTATAATTTATGAGAATTTTTTTGACATAAAAATTATGTCTAAATTCGAACCCTAACCCGAGATAATTTCGTACTCTACCGTTCTGTTTTTCCCTTTTTCCGCACATGCATTCTTACTCCCTTTTGTTTTTTTGAGCAGCGATAGACAATAGAGTAAACACTAGGCGATAGACACTAGATTTTCAATACAGTATCCACTCTTCGCCATACGCAGGAAAATAAATGAAGTAAGATAGCACACAATGAAAAGAGGGAAAAAAGAGAACAGTTGAGTACGAAATTGAAATACAGGGTTAGGGTTCGAATTTAGACATAATTTTTATGTCAAAAAAATTCTCATAAATTATAGATATAAAATACCAAAAATGATTAAAATCCGTCAAGATAATAAAAAGTTATTAATTTTTAAAATAGTGCTTTTTAGTTGGGACACCCTGTACTTTTCCCTTAAAATATTTTTTCTTTCTTAAAAGTTTTACAATTATTTAGTAGCGGTTAAATAGCTTTTCTTCCACTTTAACGATGAAGTCTCTGTCAACACCTCGAGACCTGTTTTTTTATCTTTAAAATCTTTATGTGGATTTGTTCTAGCAGTACTTGTCTAGTGATTTGTCGACGAACAAAAAGCGCAAGGAAAAACATTTTATTTTGGAAACAATTAAATATATATTTATTTTTAAAAGAATTGGTTATAATTTACGAAATTAAAAAAGGAAAACTTTCTCGATGAAAAATTACCGTATTTTTCCAACTACAGCCCCACTCTCAATTAGAGCCCTACTAGAGATCGGAATTTTGAAAAAACCGGGTCCGAGAATCGGGGGTATAAAAAATATAAAAAGATATCCCGTGCGAAGCATGGGTTTTCTTAAAAATTCATTGACAAAATTATAATTTGTTAAATAAATATAGTACATATGTATAGTATTTTATAAAAAAAATTTCTTATTTTTAACTAAATTTTAGTTACCTTTTAAACCTTATATTTTACCTTCCATTACGTGAACATATGGAAGAAAAAAAACTAAAAATTTATTTATGTGACTAATAAAGCAGCAAAACAATATTTGGCCACTAAAAATCAGTTCGCCCCCATCCACTATACATACATGTTTTTTTGTTTGAATTTTAACCTTTTTTTATATTTATCATTTTACTAGAACACACAAAAAACGTTCACCATCCACTATACTTTTAGGAAAATTGTCTCGATTCTGATTCTCAATTAATTTAAATTAAACTCTTAAGTGATTTTAATTATTTTCATTTAATATATTTTTACAAATTTAAAACCAAAAATTTAAGTAAATTTATGTAGATGATTTTAATTAAATTTAAAGAAAAAGTTTAATAAATTTATTCAAAAACAACATTTAATACATATTAAAAATGAATTAAAAAATTAAATAAAAATATTATTAAAAAAATAAATATTTTTAACAACAAATTCCAAAATTTATTTTGAAGCAACAATAAAAAGAATAGAATTAAACTTTTTAAACGTTCAAGTATGTATTTAATAATTAAATTAATTTTATTTAATTTTATTTAATTTTAAAAATTGAGAAGAAATTATTCAAAATTTAGTAGCTAATATAGTAAATATATTTTTTAATATTTAAGTTAATCTCTTGTTATTTTTACTAGTTTTTAAATTAATAATTAAGCTAAACATAAATTTAAAATTAATAATTTAATCCTTAATTAAATAATATGTCTGTTCTTTGTCGTTTACTTTAAAAAACGTTAAAAAAAGAGAAGCCTCTATAATTCCTTTTATTTTTCTTTATTTTTCAATTTATTAAATAAATAGTAGAAGACCTCTCATAATATTTATACACAAATTAAATTTATATTAATTATTAATAATAAAATATATTATTTATAAGATTCTTCGATATAACGCCCAAATCCTGGCACGAACTTCCCGGGCACGAAAGCTTAGGACCGATGTAAAAAATAAAATTAAAAAATATCAAATTCTCTCCCATCGATACCCCGCTTGATTTACCGATATCCCCCTAATATTCCTGATAAAGGCTATGTGTCGAAATTTTTGCTTGGCGCGCCAAACGCCAATTTTTCAAAATTTTAAAACACGCCAAACATAAAACGCCAAAAATCTGCCAAAAATGGAAGTTTTTTAAAGCCAAATAAAGATCGAAAATCACGACTGGCTTCAATTATTCGGTTGTAACTTTTTTAAGATTATCTGATCAAACCAATCCTCGTAGATAAAATAATCCACATTTTTAGAACTTTCTTTTGATATTATTCTAATTAAATTGTTTAAGAATCAAACAAGTTATGGCCCAAAATATGCCGCACATACTGAATCGGTGATACTGAATCGTCCCCCACCCTTCACGTGAGGTTACTAGAGTGCCGCCACTAGAGTGCCAGCCAGCTTTTATCGGCTTTTCTTTATTTTTTTTATTTATTCGCCCAATGTTTTGATAAGGAAACAGTAGCGGAAATTTTATGTCTTTATAGTTTAATATTTTTTATGAGTCACTTACATGTATAAGAATAATTTACAAATAAACATTTAAAAGCGTTAAATATTTTTATAAAATAATTTGATAGAAAATTATCTAAAATTTTTGTTAACTATTAAATGAATGACCAAAATTTGGTAGAACATTACAATTGCCTACGACAACAATCTAATCACCAACGAGGACAGAAACGCGACGGCACACCTAGCTCAGATCCATCACTTATTCGTCGGCATACAACGCCTGATATGGCGGCTTCGGCCGCATATGGAATGGGTAAGAATGCTTTTTTTTATTTGAAAAATTAGACTTTTCTTTTTTTAATTTAACATAATTTTTGTTTTTACATTTAATTTCGCTTTTATTTCTTAAGTTTCAGTGTTGTGCGGCACTGATGAGCTTGAGCATCGCTATAGAGGCCGTATTGAGAAGTTTGTTTTTTACTCTTTTTCTTTAGTTAATTTAATTTAGAGTTAAATTTGGTGTTCCTGTTAATGAGGCTTTTTCTCCTGACATTCCTGCAACTCTTTTGGTATTTTTTAAAGAAATCATTTTTTAAATTATTTTAAAATAGGTGCTTCTGTTGAAAGTAAATAAGGAAGGACCTCTCAAAAAGGATATTTGGCGTGCACCGGGTAACCAAGCACAAGTGCGAAAGCTTTCAAATATTATGGTTTGTTTTTATATTTAGTTATTTTTTTCTGTTTTATTTCCATTTAATTTTATTTTAGCAACATGGGCGACTTGTTAATATTTCGAACATTAGCGTTTACACCGCTGCCTCTGTCATTAAAGTTTTATTATGTTTTTATTACTTTTTGTGATGTTTTGTTTTTAGCGTTTTCTGGCTAAACTTCCTGGTGGAATTTTGGGAGCTGATAACGAGAAACGACTTTTCGAATCAGTTCAACAGGAAAATTTTAGTGATGATTCGAAACGTGAACTTTTTTGCAGGTTAATTATTTTAATTTTATTTGCTAAACTATTTATTTTTAGAATTGTTTCGAATTTGCCCATACCTTCGCAGCATTTGATTGTTCTTCTTTTTGGGACTTTCAGAGTCATCACTGATTCTGCCGAAACTTTTGGGACCCGAATGACTCCTGAAGCAATTGGAATTTCTGTAGCACCTTCTCTGTTTCATACGTGTATACACGATGGACAAAGAGTTACTAACAAAAACTTTATTTTAATTAGAATACTTTTTAGGCAAAATTAGATGATATTATGCGTTTCAAAATTGCTTCTCAAGTAATCTCGGAAATAATTCGTGGATTTGGCTACACGAATTTATTCCCTCGTGAATGTTACGAATTCTACGCTCGAATAACTGGGCGCACATTGCGTGTAGATGAACAATGGCATTTTTCGTTCCAGTTGCCATCAAGTATGTTTTAAAATTATTGGCTGTACTTCAGTATACCTGATGTAAGGTTCGAAATACAAAACACATACCATTCGATTCGTCTCGGCAAGCTATTTTCCTGAGATGCTTGTAGACTGAGATATATGTCTACGAAAATTGAAAACCTTAGCAGACCTCTCCGGAATCTTGGTCCGCAGGCCTTTCCGGAAAAAAGCGGTATCTTTCGACTCATTGTCAGCTCGTCAAGGCGATCGAATGGTGGTTTTTGTTTCAAAACTTTACCTCCGGTATACTGTTTTATTTTACGATTATTATAGTATATTGCTAGTTATTGCTATTCGAACCGGGTTTATTGTTAGTCATTTTTCCACTTCGGATGTTCAAATATTTTCGCTCCTTATATTGTTAAATGTCGACCTAATTTTAACTAATATTTAAATGCTTATCTTTCAATAACCAATTTGGATAGCAATTAATTGCCTGTGTACTATAATAACGAGGAACAAACAAAACAAATAGGCTAGGAAACTCGTTTAAAATAATATTAATCCTAAGTTTTGCGTCGGTTATGTTTTCCAATTCGCTTTTTTCTTTCCTTTTTTTCATTTTTAAGTTTCTGTTTTTGGTTGGTTTGTCTTTTTGTTTTGTTTGACTTTTCCGCTTTATTTATTTGTTATGCTTTTGGTTCTTTTTAAAATTGTTGTGTGTGCTTTTTACAGATGGTATTGGCTGCTTCAATCCAATTGCAGTAAATCGTCGGAATAGCCATCGATCTCAACGTAAATCCTCTTCATCTGCATCTTCTATTGCTTCAGTTCTTTCACAACTCCAGTCGACGCCTCCTGTTCAAATAAACGACAACTTTGATTTAAATGCGAAGACGCCAGAAAATTATCTTCCATCTTCTCCAAAAAGTTATCTTCCGCCTTCTCCAAAGAATTATCTTCCACCTTCACCGAAAAATTATCTACCACCTTCTCCAGTCTTCAATCCAATTTCAATAAGTCGACGACCGCCTCCACCAACTTCTGCTCTTCAGCGTCGTATTGACGCCTACTGTGCGGCAGCGAATCTTAATACAAAAGAACAAAACTTAATCCAAAAGAGGAAATCATAAATTCATCTTAAAAGCCAAGTTAACATAATTACCTCACTCCAATAGCTCTTGTGCCTGTTCTTTATCTCATGGAACGTTAATTGGTAAATCGACCTGCTGCCTTCCATATTAAAAATTACTTAAAGTATACCTGTATTTAAAATATTTTCTGATTATTATGGAGTTTCATATTAGTAACCTCTTTGGCCTTTTTTTATTGAAACAAAAATTAATTTTTTTGATCAATAATTTTATAAAAACAGCCAAAGTATTTAATTGTGGAAACGCCATAATCTTTCGCCCTGTTTTTTAATGATAATATTCATATACATATAACAATGCACAATCAGCCACTTACATTAGCGGACAAAAAGGTAGGGACAAGAGTAAGTGAAATGAAAATTACTATTCTCCCAGTTAAAAATTAATTTTAGGAACAATTTTTGTTTGATTAAATACTCACTTTAATTTTCTATTCGATAGCTTAAGATTTGCCGGGTTAATATTTTTAATATCCAGCCCATATTGAAATAATGTAGGTATGCTAATTTTTGCACGACAAGAAGATATGGGTACACCATTTTCATTTCTTACTCTTTTAACTTAAATGTCCTCTACTGTATGCCATCATGTTTTTGCGCGTAGATCTCTTTATTGGTTTTCCATTAACTCTAAACATTTATTCAAATAAATACGTGCTTTATCTTTTTTCTGGTGATTTTGCTTTACATTGCATTGCATAATGCATTTAAATATATTTTATTTGCTTTTACATTTTTCTTTGGTTTTTAACTTCCTGTGTTTGGTTGTTTCACTTATCTAATTTTTGATTGAGTTATTTACTTAGATTTTGTTTTAAAAGACTCAATAAAATGTTTCGGAACTTGTATATTATTAAATATAAATTTTTTGATTTACCTCAGAATCCCTAATTTAAGACCATATTCTAAGTTTTATATACTAAATTATGACTTTAAAAAAGACGGGCAACGGTGTTACGACGAATGTGGATACGATAATTCCGGATAAAAAATTAATTATTAAAGTAAGATCTTTTTTTAGTCCCGGCTGTCAGTTTCCAACTTCTGACGGTTTCCGAATCATTTCTCGACTTATGCGGCACTGAAAACTTTAAAACCTAAATTCTTTTAAATTTTATATCCGCAATTGTCGTACCGCACGGGCACAACAATTCAATAAAAGAATTCAGGAACACTTAGTCAACCGTCCATCCGATTTGAGCAATCAAAGAGCCCTACTCATCACCCAGCTAAAACATCAGAAGGGGAAGAAATCCATGAAACATACGAGGAGTTCTGCGAGGATGAGGATATTTATGGCGAATCATTGCTTGGGTTAGCAGGTGGCCGTCCGTATGCAAGGCGTCGAGATGTTTCCAAGTCTCTGGATGAGCAGAGGGCCAAAGCTGAAGGATGGAGGGAAATTTTAATGCGTAAAGGGCGACAAGAGCGTTTAAGCACTTCTATGGGCGATGTATGTAGTTTAGTATATTTAAAAGAAAACTGGGGAAACATTTTGGAATCCGCATTTGGTAAGCGGTACCAGTACGAGAAAAAATAGGGGGATACGAAATACGAGTATGAGCAATTCTGAAATTTCCAGGCACTGCATACGACTAACTATGAGAATTAATATCAGAATTAAAATTTTTTTTCTAGGTGATTGTTCACAGCGAGGAGGAAGGAGATCCTACTGAATGTGGAAAACCCGGTGACAATCGTGATTATTTGGAAAGTACACGTTCACTCACCTACCTTGAGTGGGTTCATGAGCGACAAACTAGACGAATGCAAACTCGTTCTGAGTGGTTTCTATCACCTACTGCACCATCATGTACTAATGGTGGAGCATCAAGAATTGAAGGCGGACGAATGTGCTACTCTCGTATATCACAACGTTTTTCAGCTTCGCCCATTCATCTGCGTTTATCTGCAAAGAAAGTAACACCATCTCGAGAGGAATATACGAGGCATTCAAAAATTTCATAATTTTTTGTTAATTATTTTATTTTAGTTCTGGTGATGAGGAAATGTGTTGTTGCTCATCTACAAGTGGAACATGTGGAGGAGCTGGAGCGGGCTATAGTGAAGTCGGCTGTGGACGTTCAGGCTGTGCTGCTATTTGTAGTACATCTACTGACACATCAATGAAATGTTCGCCACGACGGCCTGACTCTTGTTGCACGACTAGTGGTTGTTCAGCGGGTGATGCCCAAATGAAGTCGCAAACTGGCACAGAAGAGGAAGAAGCTGGAACATCGGATGATGATGCTTTTCTAGCTGGTAGCAATATTGAATACCAACACCCTTTACATTCAAATCTATTGACCGTTGGTTAAAATATTTGAATTCAAAATAAACAAATTTTGTCTAGCAACATCCTCATTCGCCAACAGCAAAAATTATACTCGGCCGACAGCCATTTCAGCTTCTTCAAGAACGACAATATTCTACTAGTACCACAGATGGTTCAGCAAGTGCGCAAGTAACACCTTCAGCTGTTGAACTTTGTGCTAGTGGAAAAAGTGTTGGAAGTGGACGACAGCGTTTTTTTGGAAGTGGAGAACATGAGGGTGGATTGCAGGTCCCTATTATAATTTTCCAATGTTTTTATTAATTATTAACAGGCTTTACCAGAATTGTCCGAGACAACTACGTCTTCACCGCTACCTCGACGTTTCTCAGCTCCATATGTGGATATTTCACCTACAGATGAACAAAATCAGGCAAAGGTACACATTTGTAAAATAACAATAAAAAGTTTAACTTTTAGGAGATAGTGCCAGCAAATACGGCAACACGGACGACTGCTGCTAGCAGTGTTTTGACACGGCCAAAACATCAACAAAAAGGTGCTAAATTAATCCAAACAATGAGCAGTGGTAGCAGCGGGAGTGGAAGTGGTAGTGGAGGTAGCGGAGCTAGTGCCCAGACTGTGATTGGTGTTGCTGGAGGTACTTAATGATTTTTAGTTAAATTTAGAAAGATTAAATTTTCTTTAGTAAGCATAGAACAGCCTGAAATATTACAGCAGCAACAAGCAAGAATAGTAGGTACTGGTGTGGTTCGACGGCGTAGTTGGAGAACTCATTATACACGCCCGAAAAATAAATCTCTTGATAGTGATATTGTTGTCGGAGTTGACATTAGAGAAGTGAGGGGATTTTTTTTGAAATAATTCAATTTTATCTTAAAAGGAAGCCACTCCATCTTCTTCTCATTCAATTCATTTACGCTGCAGTTCCCCTCTTATTTTTGGTCGTAGACATAGCTCTAATGGAGATGCACACAAGGAAAAAGGCATAACAGAAGCGACCCCACAAACATCATCGACCACTCCAACAGCAGAAAGAGGAACGCTTATTAGGCGAAAATCTTCAAATAATAATAATGCAACTAAATCAAAACCCCCTGTTCAAACACGTAAAAGTACTCAAATATAATTTTGAATTACTTCTCTGGAATGATCTCTTTTGCCCTCAATCTTTTTTTTTAATTTCATTAATTAACATTCTTAATTTATAAAATTGTCTTTCATTTAGGGGGTTGGACCACGACCGGTCAGTACTTTTCTTCAGACTAAATTAACTATTTGAATCGAGGTTAGACAGGTCAGGGTCCAAACCTGCTTTCATCAATTTACTCTGAGAGAAAGAAAAATTCATTAAGTCACTTGGCTTATTTTGTTTTTTTGTGATTTATTTCATTATTTTAAAACTGTCTGGAAGAGATAGAACATACTCGGTTGAATTAATGCTTTTAATTAATTCTGCCAAAGATAGTTTAAAAATTGGTTATCGCCTCGCAAATATATTTAAAGTCTTTCATATTCATTTTTTCAATTTTATATAACGCCTAAATCTTGATTCCAAAAACTGCCTGCTTGACAATACTTCAATGCTTTTTTCAATTAATTTCGATTATATTTTTAATAAAATAATGTAAATTGCTTCACTTATTCTGTGTGGTTGTGTATTAAAAATATTTTACTCTTACTTATGGATAAATTTTTTCACGAAAATTAAACTTTGTTCTTTTTGAGTATAAATTTTTGAATGAATTTTACTCTTATCTTTAATAAATTATTAATTTAAAGACAAAAATATGTCTGGAAATTAAGCTTCTCACCATCTGTTTTCTTATCATAATTTTGTCTTTAATTATTAAAGACATGCTAGTTAATATTTCTCTTACAATTTAATTAGTCACACTTTATGATTCAGCTGTTGATAATAAAATGATTTATTTTCAAGAGGACCATGAACCTTGAAAATAATTTTTTTTAATTAGATAATTATGTAATTAGTTTAATTTAGTATATAAAATTAAGTTTAATAATATTTTCACATTTTTTATGGTTTGAAATGCCACTAATTATTACTCTTTTGCGTTTGTCAGTATCCTTCTATTTTTGGGCGGTCTCATTTGTGTTCAGATTTTTGAATTTCCTTTACAAACGTCGGATTGTGGATAAAGCAACAAATGAAGTTTTGCTTATTTCTGCTGGAGAGGCAGCTGCAATGATTAGAAGGGGAGAGGTAATTTGTTGACTCTTGTCGAATTTAAATATTCAGTCAGAAGTTTATGCGTCAAATCAATCTAAACAATATTATTAACTAGGAAATTATTTTCGATCAGAAGTATCATTAATTCTCGGAGCATCACTAACTTGGAAATATCAATTCCACAATTCCTAACTGTTTAGATTTGAGTTTAATTGGGCACGCATAAAATATTTATTGGACGAATAAACTTTAACTGGATTATTAACGGGATAAGGGCCAATTTATCTTTAATTTTGAAAATTTAAAATAATTTCAGATTGGGTCTCTTCAATTAGTCGAAGCCTATATTGAGAGAATTCGGCATGTTAATGGAATGTTAAATGCAGTTGTAGAAGATAATTATGCTAAAGCCAGGGAAACCGCTCAGCATGTTGACAACTATTTAAGTCTTATTAACAGAAATTCTGAAGAATTGGCTAAGGTTATCGACTAATTTAATTTAAAAATATTTGGAGTTTTATTTTCTAGTTAGCAAAAACAAAACCTTTATTTGGTGTGCCCTTCACTGTTAAGGATAATACATTTTGCAAAGATTTTGTTTGTACGGCAGGTGTTCCTGCAAGAAAACAAAATGAACCTTGTGAGGAGGATGCTGAAGCTGTTAAACGGTTTTAATTTAAATTTGTTTTTGATTTTAATCTCAATATTTGTAGAGTTAAGGATGCTGGTGCAATTTTGCTAGCAATAACAAATGTTCCAGAACTTGCTCTTTGGTGGGAGAGCAGCAACAAAATTTATGGAAGAACTAATAATCCTTATGATGTTCGAAGAACTCCTGGTGGTAGTAGTGGAGGTGAAGGAGCACTTATTGCAGCAGCTGGATCAGTTATTGGATTGGGGAATGATGTTGGTGGATCTTTACGCGTTCCAGCTGTTTTTTGTGGAATTTTTGGGCTGAAACCTGGACCTGGTTTTTAAATTATTTATTTTTATTTGATTTATTTTAAAGGAATTGTTCCCTCTTCCGGTATCATTCCTCATCTTAGAGGCGGTTACGTTACTCAAATGGCATCTGCTGGACCCATGGTTAATTTAATTATTAAAACATTCAAAAAATATTTTTTAGGCTCGTTATGCTTCTGATTTGGCATTAATGCTTCAAGTATTTTGGCTTTTTGGAATTTATATTTTTCAATTTTTAGGTCCTTGCTGGAGAGGAGGTTGCTCAAAATCGGCTTCATTTACAACAGCCAGTTAATTTCAAGAATGTCAAAATTTTTTATATGGAGGAAATTAAATCTTTATTTTGTCAAAATTTGTCAAAGGAAATGCGTCACGTTGTTCGAAAGGTTTTAAAATTTAGAGTTTATTTTAAATCTAACAATAAATATTTTAATGACAAAATTTTTCTTTTTATTTATTTAAATTTAGACAGCTAAATATTTTGAAAAAAAGTATGACATTAGCACACACCGTCTCGATTTATTGTTAGCTCATCATGCTCATGAAATGTTTTTAACTTCATTAGATGAAGATGATTATGAAAAGATAACAATGGCTATGTCCAATTCTAAGGTCTAAAAATTATTAATTTTTTATTTAGTGTTAATTTATTTTTAGTATGATGTTAATTGTGTTTTTGAATTAATTAAATTCCCATTGGGTTTATCTGATCACACATTGCCGGCGATATTTACAGGAATGCGAAGCAAACTTCCAAAAAAGAATGAAGCTAGAAGAAAATTTGTTAGTTTATTTTTTGAAATTTTTTTTTATCCAATTATTTTTTAGATTAACAGTAAACGTGATCAGTTACGACGTGAAATTGTTGATTTGTTGGGCAAGGATGGAATTTTAATTTTTCCTGCATGGCCTACCACAGCACCATTTCATCAACAACCTTTGCTTACTCCGATGAATATATGTTAGTAATAATTAAAAATAAAAAAAATCTTTTTATTTTCCCAGTATATACAGCATTATGGAATACTTTAGCTTTGCCTGTTCTTGCTTGTCCTATGGGAATTAATTCTGAAGGTTTACCTGTTGGTGTTCAAATTGTCTGTGCACCAGATTCTGAAAGGTTACTTTTGGCAGCAGCTCAAGATTTGGAGGAAGGTTTTGGCGGATGGACACCTCCTGAACCGCCTGGAGGTTGGAGGCAATTTGTGAGAAGAATTGTCAGTCGTTGATTGTTTTAAAGGAATATTGCTGACTAACATTTGAATTTTCAAGAAAGGCAAAACTTTTAATTTATCTTTTTCGATTGAGATTTTGTTGTAAATTTAAATGCCTTTCTTGAAAAACACTTACATTTTTTGCCTCAATTTTATTTTATTCTATCATATATTTGTATTTTTCATTACTTATTTATTTCGTTTACTAAAGATTTTTTTGATTGAGATTTTGCTGAAAATTAATTTTTTAACTAATTAATCAAAACCTGAACATTAAAATTTATTCAAAATTTCTCAATCTTTCTTTTATTTCACTAAAATCTTTATTAAATGTAAATTAAAAATACTGCCATAAATTCCCATTAATTATTTTTTATTTTCCAATACTCCATTTTTTAATTTAATAGATTCACATTTTTAAACATTCACTTACATATTTTTCAATAAAATATTCACTTTACAATTAATTTAATAATTTTTTACCTATAATCTTTTAATATTAATTGTAACATTTCAATACCTCTTATTATTTAATATTAATTACTACAATATTAAATTAATTTTCCTTTTTTTATTTATTTTTTAATAATTAATAAATAATTTTTTTTAAGAAAATGATTTTTAATCGACTTTATTTTCGAAAATCTTTAAATTTATTTTTGAATACCAAATCATTAGCTGTCAAAAATTTTGCTTATTTGTCGACTGGACATGAACATTTTCTTAGTTTTGTGCCGGAATTAAGAGTTGGAATTGAAAATGATGGAAAAACAAAAATTGATTTTGAGAAACTTAATGAAAAGGTTAGTTAAAAGTTTTTAAAATATTCCCCCCCCCCCTCTTTTATATTTTTGATTTTTCACACAAACCAGTTTACCTTATTAGAAAGGAATCAATTATCAAGTAACTTTAAATTAGTAATTTTAGGTCCTTCTTGTCTACTTCTCTGCTGGATGGTGTGCGACTTGTAAAGGTTTTACTCCTTTATTGAAGGTAGATATAGGAAAATATTAAAAATTAATTTTGTATTTTAAGAAATTATATAATCAGTCGAAGGATGATTTGGCTATTTTGTGGATATCTAGAGGTGGAAACAATGTTTTTAAAAAATAATAAAATTATAGATAAAACTGCTTCTGAACAAATGGAATATTACACAAACAATTTGGATCCAACTTGGATGTATGTTCCTTTGGGTAAACCAACTAGGTCTTTTTAAATTTTTATTTAAAATTATTTTAATATTTTTTAGAGATTTTTTGAAATTATATAAATTAGTTGGTCTTCCAAGTGTCAAATTAGTTGATAATAATGGAAAGTTTATAGAGGATGTGAAAATGCAAATTGAGGTATTTTTGGTATTTAAATATTTTAATAATAAATTATTTTTAAAAGAAAAATTCTGATAATCCAAAAGAATTAATTCAATTATTTAAGTCAAAAACAAATAATTAAATTATTTTTGTGTCCCAGATTATTTAATTGTTTTGATTATGTATATGTATTTCTCTTTATATTCTAAATAAATATTTTTAGGTATTTTTCAAACTAACTAGATACATATATCTAATCTTTATAGTTATATTATCAAAATTGAGAAACTTGTGCAATTTAGCTCGTTTAAAAGAGCTTTTCGAAAAAAGTACTCTGATTAGATTATTCTGATAAAGATTACAATCAGATGAAACTTCATTGAAAAATAATCTTGAGTTAGCTGGGCATGATTTTGGCTACACGATAGCCGTGCTTCGGTTGTCATTCTGTTAAACATATGCCAGGCTTCCTCCGCATCCTTGTCCATCAAATAAGCTTTAATTTGTACAAGTTTATCAATTTATAAATATCTAGTTATTAAAATTACATGGAAATACTTGTTTTTATTTTAAATTTATTCAAAAAAATTTTATTTAGGAGTATTTTTGAAATTCATTTAATAAATAATTAGTAAATTTTAATTATAATTTCAACAATGACAACAACTTATTCAACAATTACAGTTCAAGCTCCAATGAATATTGCTTTAATTAAATATTGGGGAAAGAAAAATAAAGTTTTTTTAAATAAAATTATTTAAAAATTTTTTTAAAAGGATTTAATTATTCCTTTAAATGATTCTATATCTATAACAATTAACAGTTTATGCGCAATTACAAAGATTACTGTTGATTCTAATTTAAAAAATGATTTGGTTATAATTAATGGAAAAATTGAAAATAATTGCCGTTTTGAAAGAGTTTTTAATGTAAATTAAATAAAAAATATTTTTTAAATTTATTTTTTAGGAAGTTAGAAATATTATTGATAGACGAAAGAGAAATGTGAATGGAGAATTGTTAAATGAAAATAAATATTTTAAAGTTTATAAATTATATTTATTTTTAAATTTAATTTTAGATAGAATCCAAAACTAATTTTCCAATTTCGGCAGGATTAGCTTCCTCAGTTTTTTAAAATTATTTTTAAAGTTTTATTTTTAAATTTAGGCTGCCGGTTTTGCTGCAATTTCTTTTGGACTAGGCTCTTTATTTAAATTTAAAGAATTAAAAGAAATTGTTAGAATTGCTAGAATTGGTTATTTTTAAATTTAAAATTAAATATTTTTTGTGTGAAGGTTCTGGTTCTGCTTGTAGAAGTATTCTTGATGGATTTGTTCATTGGAAAGCGGGGAATAGTGTTGAAGATGATTCTGAATGTGTTTGTGAGGTATTTTTAATTAAAAGAAATTCTCTTTTAATTTTTAAAAAGCAAATAACACCAATTTCACATTGGAAAGAACTTCGAGTACTTGTAATAACTACAAATGAACAACGTAAAAAAATTGGAAGTACAGAAGCAATGCAACGTACAGTTTTAACTTCAAAACTTTTAAAGGAAAGAATTGAGGAATGTGTTCCGAAAAGGATTGAAAAGTTTTTTTAAAAAATAAATTTAAATTAATTCTAATAATTTTAAAGTTTAAAAGAAGCTATTTTAAACAAAAACTTTTCTCAATTTGCTGAAATAACAATGGCTGAAAGTAATCAATTACATGCTGTTTGTCTTGATAGTTATCCTCCAATTATTGTTTGTTTTCTTAAAAAATTATAATTTATTTAAAAAAAGTATTTAAATTCAACATCATTTTTATTAATGGAATTTGTTCACGATTTCAATACTTTTTATTCTTCTCCATTAATTGCTTACACATTCGATGCTGGCCCTAATTGTTTTTTATTTTTTGAAGAAAAAACATTTCCATTATTTTATAATTCTTTCAAAAATTGTTTTAATTATAATAAAGATTTAATTAAAATTAATTTTGATGAAAATGAAAATAAAGAAATTATTAAATTAATTAGTAATGAAGGTAGGTAAAAGATATTAAATATAAAATTAAAATTTATTTTTTTAAAGAAAATAATGGAGAAATATTAAAAGAAAAAAATAAAAATATACAATTTCCTTGGTTAGAAGCAAAACAAATTAATGTTCAACAATTATTGCTTAGCAAACTTGGAGATGGACCAAAAATTTTAGAATAAAATTTTAATAGAATTTAAATTTTACTAGGTCGTTTCATAAAAAAGTTCGTTTTTTTCCACAAAGAAACTTTCTAAGAAAAATCGATAAATCACTAAAAAAATCAAACAGATAAAAAATCTAACTGTACTAAATAATTGCGCCGAGTCTTGACAACATTCTTAATACAGAAAAAAGTTTGTGGGTACCCCTTTTTAAAAAAATCTGACCCCATTTCTTAAGCACTGTCTTCCCCACCGCAGTCTCGACCTTGGCGTCTTCTTTCAAGTGCCCGTCCCGTATGGAATTTTTTAAAGAAGTGAAATGATGTTATTCTGATAGAGCAGACTCACTCTCGACCTTGGCGTCTTCTTTCAAGTGCCCGTCCCGTATGGAATTTTTTAAAGAAGTGAAATGATGTTATTCTGATAGAGCAGACTCAGGGCTATAAGGGGGGTGGGGTAACACTTTCCAACAAAGTTTATTTCGGGTATGGCAGGTCGTCAAAAATGAGCGGTGTAAAGGAGCGTTATTTTAATGGAAAACCAGAGGTCTAGTAATCAGTCCCTGGCGACGTTGAAGGTAACAAACGAAATCTTCCTGGGTGAGTTAGTTGATATGCATGTTGGAGTTTGTAGTGGTACCAATTTGAAGTACCTCCGTCATCAACGGACCGAGCACCATCCAAAACAATACACAACATACGTTTTTTGGGGGGTTGGTTGGGCGGGCGGAACGGGCCTGTTGAGACCGGCCGGTTGAGCCCCGCCAGTTGAGACCGGGCAGTTGAGACCGAGGCCAGTTGAGCGCGGGCCGGTTGAGACCGGGCCAGTTGAGCGCGGCCGGTTGAGCGCCCCTTGTTATTTGGCCAGTTGAGCGCCAATATATTTTTACACTGATAAACTTCTGGCAAAATGTTTATTCATGTTCGGAACAACTTGACTAATGTTCGGAACAACTTGACTAATGTTCGGAACAACTTGACTAATGTTCGGAACAACTTGACTAATGTTCGGAACAACTTGACTAAAGTTCGGAACAACTTGACTAATGTTCGGAACAACTTGACTAAAGTTCGGAACAACGTGACTCAGGATTGCACAACTTGACTCATGTTCGGAACAACGTGACTCAGGATTGGAACAACGTGACTCAGGATTCCACAATTGTTGGTACCAGGCCCGTAGCCTGGATTTTTTCGAGGGGGGGGGGGTTGGGGCAAGGGGGAAAAATTTTGTTCCCCGTCCTTGGAACAAAAAAACTTCCCCCGTCCTTGGAACAACATCCCAAGTCATTTGAACAAAATCCACCGTCATAGGAACAACATCCCAAGTCATTTGAACAACATCCCCCGTCCTTGGAACAACATCCTTCGTAATTTGGAACAACTTCCCAAGTTATTTGAACAACATCCCCCGTCTTTGGAACAACATTCCCCGCTTCGCGCTCAACTGGACAGTTAACAAGGGGCGCTCAACTGGCCGCGCTCAACTGGCCCGGTCTCAACCGGCCCGCGCTCAACTGTCTTCGGTCTCAACCGCCCGGTCTCAACTGGCGGGGCTCAACCGGCCGCGCTCAACTGACCCCAACCGTTGGGCGGGGGACCAAAAGAGGGTCTTAATATTTTTTCCTCCAAACAATTTTTGTATATTATTATCGTAATTGGCATATGTTTAAACAATCCGGTTCCACGAATAACTCTTTCGTTTGATATCCAGGTTTAAAAGGCAAAGAAAAAGTCCTTGTTGTTTTTGTCTCCCAGTCGGTTGGTGCATTACTCTTTTTGTCCTCCTCGGCTCACTATCCGTTTTTTTCGACAGTTGCTATATTGTACTTATAGAGCAATGTCCCCGCTACAATACTATCAAAAAATATCCGGATATCATTCTAACCGGCGAGCAAGGACACGTTTGTTTACAGTCGGTCGTCTGCACGACCCATGTTTGTGTTTGGTCCTGCCGCTCCCCGGACAAAATTTTTTCAAATATTTTTGCGCTGCACTAGGCTAGACAAATCCCTGCCTAACGTTTTATTAATTTTTCTTGCTTCCAGCATTGCATTATTACTTTGTTTTAATGGGATGTGTAAATGCTTCTGAATATTATCTCTACCCACGCTCACTTCTAAAGGCATAAAATTTTTTTGGGCTTTTCTATTTTTAAAATTTTAGCATGATTATAAAGCTAAGATTCAGGGCTACAAAATAAGATAAAAATAAAATCTGATAAAGATAGTTATCACTCTGAAAATAAGTGATAACAAAAAACGAACTTTTTTATGAAACGACCTAGTAAATATTTCATTAATTTTATGCAGTAAATAATTGTTAAACTTTTAATTTTTTTTTAAATTTATTTACTTTAATTAGGAAACATTTTTAAAATTATACATACAAATTTATCAATTAAAAAAATATTTTTTTAAAAATCTTTTACTTCGTTTTCTCTTTCATTTATATTATAGGCCAACGAATATTATATGGAGAAGGTTGATTATCTCTTTCTCCATTTAAATATTGGGAGTTTTTATAAAAATAAGGAGGAAAATCATTATTATTCGGATTAATTCCATTATTGTAATTTTGTTGTAAATTTCCTTTAGAATTTCCTCCAAAATCTATTGTGCCTCCATGGTATGGTTGGGGAGGGTAGGATGGATGTCCTCCTGTTCCAAATTGTTGTAAATTGCCGGCATTATTTGGTGAATTGATAGGGGAAGGAATACAATCAAAAATTGATTTACCGTTATTTATTTCACTAAATAAAAATATTTTTTTTTGAAAAAAACATTTTTTGATTGTTACCGATATGGTTGATAATAATTGCCAAGATTTGTTCCATAACCATTTGAACCAAAATAATAGGGAGGGTAAACAAAAGAAGAAGAGGGAGAGGAAGAACGTCCAAATAATGAATTTTGAGGTAATCCTTGTTGGGGTAATTTATTTTGATAATAAAATGAATATTGTTGTTGATTAATAAATCCTAATAAATAAACATAAAGTAATTTTAATTATGAGCTGGACTTGGGTATATCTCGAAAAATATTAATCTCGATACCCGAACTTGTCTCAGTCCGGTATCTAATTTTAATTAATTTTTCTGTCAACTAACCAGATGGGGGATATATTTTATTTTGATTATTAGTATATTGTTGAGAATATGTATAATTAATTAATTCAAATAAAATTATGAAGAATAACATTTTTAATAAATATTTAAAATTATTTTATAAATTATTAGAAAATTATTATTTGGATAAACTATATTTTTAATAAATAATCTAACATTTTTATACTCTAAAAGAATTATTTGCGCAAGATTAAAAACTAACTACTAAATTCAATGACACAAAACAAGTGATGACCTTCTTTTAATTTTTTAGAGATTTTTCCTTTGAAATTTTTATTTTTTTAACAAAAATATTTTTAAATCCTTTAAATGCCCTATATTTTAAATAAAAATGGTTAATATTTAGTCTCTTTTGATTATAATAAAAACTTTTTTACAAAACGGATTAAGGCCAGACTACTACATATATTAAATATATAAGTAAATTACATGTATGAATAAATATTCTCTAAATACTGTATACTTCAAAATTTTACAATAAATAAATAAATACTTAATCTTCCGGCTATATAGCTATAGCCCAAAAATCTGATATTTTTATATAACTCGGATTTTCGGGGTTTTATCCCGAAAAATTCGGCCTGAGTAAGGATTTAAATGTAAGGATTTACCTTTTAAAGTATAAGAGTAAGATTATTTATTTTACAAAATTATATTAAAATAATTTCCATTCTTTATTTAATTTCCAAAATAAAATTTAAATAATTATTTTTGTTTTAATTTTATATATTTTTAAAATTAAATTCAAATAAATTTTTCTTTCGGAAAATTTTCTTTTGTCTTTTTATTTATTCACTCACACACACATTTTTTTTTTTTCTCTGCCAAATCGAATAAAATAAAAATATTTTTTTAGACTAGAAACAAGCAAAATATTTTTAAATCTTTTTTTTATTTAGAAGACAGTTGCTACATTAATTTCTTTTTTTATTAATTTTCTAAAATCGATTTGAACAACTAAAAAGTGATTTGTCTTTTCCTCTTTTTTAAATAAAAATTAATTTTTAAATTTAAAAAATATTCTTTTTTTTTGTCATTTTCTTTTAAAATTTAATTTTTCTCTCCCACAATTCTCCAATTTCTTTTTTAGATTTTTAAAGCTTTTTCAGAAAACCAATTTTTTTTTCTTTAAAATTCTTCTCTTGATTGTTGTTTTTAGTAGTCCAAATAATAAAAGAATTTAAATAAAAAGGGCAAGAAAAATAAAAAAAATAAAAAAGAAATTTGTAATCTTTAAAGCAAATTTTATTTTTTTTAAAAATTTCTAGAGAAAATTGTCAACTGTTTAAAAGAGATAAGAATTTTATAAAATTGTTTTGACTTTTTTTTAATAGTGAATTAAATAAAAGAAATTGTTTTTAAAAAATAAATAAATTATTTATTTGTTAACCTTTTTCCCCTCTTTTTCAATCTTTTAAAAAAGGATAAAAAAATTTTTTTTTTAATTTATATATTTCT